GGCTAACGATAAACATTTTATCGGACCTAATGCAAGTTACATTTTTCGTCCAATCAAAACAGGGATCTGATCTCAGGAAATAGCCGCTCGTGCTTTTTCTCGCGACCACCATCGCGTATTGTTTTCTCCTAATAAGTTATGACATGATTGGGCAGCAATTTGTAATTTGATTTTTTTTTTCGCGTTCTTTGGCCGCTCCTCCTTTTTGTTTTTTAGAATTCATATTTACAAATTAAAATGCACAGTATCAATATGAAATGATTCAGGCCGGCGGCTTTAGAAAGCTCAGTAATACAGAAATACATTTGAAGTCATTGTGCTGCTAAAACAAACTAATTTTTGTTTGATTTTGAGTTTTTTGCGTTAGCCAGGTTTCTCAAATTTTTTTAACTCGATTTTTGGAACATCGGCCCAGTAGGACTATTCCCACTGTCCCACCTGGCCAGTCCGCCTCTGTCTACCAATAAAAGCGAAGTAAAGCCAGAAGCTAAGAGGAATTAAAAAACAATTCTTGGATAAATAAGCAGAAGTAAAACCACTTCTTTTTTATGAATGGGCAACATTTTATTTGTAATTTTAATGTTTTTTGATTATCTCCATATTAGATTTATAGCAAATGAAAGTTAAAAAAGAATATCTCCAGAAAGGTTTTTTCTTTTTCTTCGAAATTCTCCCAGTTTGTTCAAAATATATTGGAAAAGAACTGGTAGCATAACAAATATTTTTGCTTGATTATAAGTTTTGATTTTTGTCATCATCCAACAAGACCTACCCCGTAAAAGTAGAAACTGTTATTGTAATGCCTATAACTTTGGAAATATACCAATAAAATGGATAAAACTGCTAGGGTACCTAAGTTGACTTTTAAGTAGCTGAAATACTAAAGGGCATTAAAAAAGGATGTTTACTTTCTGAGAAATCCTTTTTTTTAACAACATGCTAAAACAGCAGAAATGTTGAATAAATAAAGCAAATTTTTACCTTTTTTTATTTTTAATGCTAATTTAAAAAAAAATACAACATAGTTTAAAGTAAATTTAAAATAAAAATACAACAGCAGACTAATTTAAAGTAAAGTACAACAGTAAACTAATTTGTAAAATAAAAATTAATTATTTAAGAAAGTCATTTAAGTTGGGGTTGACCACTTTAATAAAATTGAAAAATTAACAAACTAATGTTGTTTTTTTTGCGAAAAACATAGTAGTATTGTTTTCACAAAAAGTGGCTTAAAACTTGATCTTTTAATGATAAGTTTTGTTAATTACGAATCATTATATTCCAAAAATTAGTTCTTATTGTCACGTTGGTATTTTTTTTTTGTTAATTAATGTTATTTATTAGAGCTAACTTAAAGTGCTCTTATTACCAAGTGGTGTGGGTAATATGAGCACTTTTCATAATTTTTTAAAACCTCTGTGTTTTTAAGAAAAATCTTCGGAAGCCTAAATATCTATGTGGGTCATGAGTAGAGATCCCAAAAAATTATTCACAAAATTTTTGGATATGGCATAACTATTTTTGATAATTTTTGGATACGGCATAACTATTTTTGATAATTTTTGGATACGGCATAATTATTTTTAAAAATATCCCAGCAAAATTAGGTATCCGAAGCAATAAAATAAAAATAACAGCATCTTCATAAGAAGCGTAAACGTCATATTATACTCATGCTATCTTCCGTATTTACAGCCCTGATATTAAATTTGTTATGAGTTTTGTCGAGTAAAAGTAAATCTGGTCCTCTGTTGGGTGGATCAAGTTTCCTTTTAGATCTTAATAAGTTTATTCATAATTTTTTTCGGTTCGTTTGAGGTTTCATTTTAGTCTATAACAATTTTTGGCAGAGAGCTTGAACATGTCTTAAGATTAACTAAGGATGGTTCTTTTGCTTACTTTTTTTTTACTTTCACGAGTGTGTTAGTTTTTATGAAAAAGTAAGTTACATAAGTAATTTTAAACGTTTAATGTAAAAGCATGAAGGCACTTGATATTTATGACCTAAATATTTTCAAAATTACACAATTATGTTTCAACATCAGTCAAAAAAAAAGCCAAAGGTTCTCAAAAATATTTTCCCTAAAACATTAAACCGATACAACACGCGATCAACCGGAAGATTTAAAAAACCTTTCCGTACATCAAAACTTACGAGCTTTGCCATTTACTATCGTGGCCCAATGCTATGGAACCATTTTACAAGCCTGAGTGATAAACTTAAAGAAGCCAATACCTCTCAAAAATTTAAAAAGAACATAATCGAACTTATTACCAATTTATTTACACTTTTGCCGATAAAAAAAAAATTACAGTCGTAACTTATAAAAAAAATAATTACATGACCGGGGCTAAAGAAGACAAATTTAGTCTTATCATTAAGCCCCAAAAAATGCGTCATTACTAGACAAAATATAGTTTAACAATAAAATATAGTTTCAATGTATATATCTCTGATTTATATTATAAAAGAAAATTTAAATATATCGCATATCGTTTAAAATTTATAGTTTTTCAAAGAATAAGATTTAACAATTGTTTTGTAAAATAAAAGAAACAAAATTTAATAAAATATTAAAATAACAAAAATAACATTTAAGACTTGGTTTGAAAAATAAGAAGATATGATTTTATATAAAAACATTTTATTGGTAGAGCATTTTATAGTTTAACTTATTTAATTATATTTATAATACTTTTCATTGCCAATTAAGTAAAAGCAAATAAACAGTATAAAATAAAAGTAAAAGATTAATAAATAACACAAAAATAAAAAATAAATTTCTCAAAAAGAAGATTATCATTTAAAATGATAAAAATATATGTGCAATTGTTGATTAACTATGTATTGATAATCTAAAGTAATTAATTAATTAACTATTAATTATTGATTTCTAATATAAAGAAGTTTTATTAGAAAAAATTTAATTAATTTTCAGTTAACAAAAGTAATTGCTTAAGTTTTGTTTTGAATTGGTTTAGAGAATAATTAGTTTTCATTTCATTATTTAATATTATGTTCCACAACTTTGGTCCTCGGTTTACAATAGAGAATTTAGTAGCGGAATAATAAGTTTTGGATTGAATGTAGCTGTATTTTGAAAATCTTGTAGGGTATATGTGATTTATTTTTTCAAAAATTGAATGAAATAAGATTGGTAATATATTTTTATCAAGTTTGAACATGAAAATAAGAACTTGATAGAGGTTTAGTTAGTATACATTTAGGATATTGAGTTCATTAAAAAGTGTTTGTGTGTGTGAAAAACGATCTACGTTTGAAACTATCCTTATAGCCTGTTTTTGTTTGCTAAGCAATTTTTTTATTTTCGTCGCGTAAGTGCTACACCAAGCAATGTTTGCATAACTTAAGTAGCAATGAATAAAAGAAAAGTAAATGTTTTTAAACAAGATTGATGTAATAACTGCTTTGCACATTATACCTAAATTTTTTGATATTTTATCTTCAACTACACCTATGTGTTCCCTCCAGGTTACATTTTCGTCTAGAAACACGCCTAAAAACTTTATTGATTGCTCTCTCTTTATTAATTGATTGTCAATAAAAAGGTCTCGGAGTTCTAAGGGAATATCTGATTTTTTATGTAGGCGATGGAATAAAGTGTATTTTGTTTTAGTAATATTTAAAGATAACTTGTTTGATTTAAACCATTGGGTTAGTTTGTCTAGTTCTTTGTTTAATGTTTGGAATAATATATTGATATCTTTATTGGAATAAAACAAGCTGGTATCATCTGCAAATAAAATTGTATTTAAAATGTTAGAAAACTTATTTAAATCGTTTATATAAACAAGAAATAGAAGTGGCCCTAAAATTGATCCTTGAGGAACACCACATTTAATTGTCTCATAATTAGTTTTTCCTTCATTATAAACTATATACTGCTTCCTATTGGTCAAATAACTCTCAAACCAGGACAAGTTAGTATTTTTTATACCATAACTTTTGAGTTTCGATAGAAACCAATCAAGA